AGGATTTTTCTTGAAATATTCTACCAGGAAAAGGAAATACTTCACATGCACACTGAAGTATTTCATTTTATCAATTATAAATTCATTTATATTTGTATTCATTTTATCCATATTCATCTAGGCACTTGTTTAGATAAATTAAACACATAATTAAAATTTAATATTCTCAGTGAAATAACTGGTTTTGTAAAAGTTGAGAGAAATCCAAATCAAGGAGGGGGGGGTTGGGGAATTTTGCCTGGTTCTCTGTTGTCTAAAGTGAATATTTCTATCATTGGCCTAACAGGGCTCCAAAATCTGGCACCAAGCCACTTGTCCAAGCATCAACTATCACTTTCAATACTGACATGAATTATACTTTTTGTGACTTCCTATATATATAGTATTCCATTCCTGCTTCACTTTCATGGGGGCATGTTTTGTCTCTCCAAATAAGCTGCAGGGGAAAATAAAGCAGGGAGATGCAGATGGGGTACAATGCTAACAGTGTGGTCATAGCTTCACCAAAAGGATGATATTTGAATACAAACCAGAAGGAAGTGAGAAAGCAATACCCACAGAGATCTGGAAGCTGAATGACCCAAGCAAAGGGAACTGTCAATACATAGTTCCTGAGAGACATACATCTTCCAAGCAAGTTTGAGTGGCTAGTGACGCTGGGCTAGGAAGGAAAGGAAGAATAGTGAGATTTGAGGCCAAAGAGCAAACAAGGGGCAGGGAGTGGGGCCTTGTAGTCACCGAAAGGACTTCAGATTTTCCTTTGAGCCAAATGAAGGCCATTAGAGGTTTTTATGCATGGGAGGGACCTGATCTGATCTGCCCTTTATTGCAATCCACCAGGCTGCTGTAGTGATGAGGGTGCTACAATAATAAAGGCAAGAGATGGCAGTGGCTTGATCAGAGCCATAGCAACAAGAATGAGAAAATAAGAAATGGTTGCAGTCTGTCTTTTCAAGGTAGCGCTGACAGGACTTGCTCATGGATTGGATGTAGAAAAATAAAAATGACTCCAAATGAAAGGGTAGAAATGCCATTCACCAATTTCAAAATGATGAGAGAAGTTATTTTTACAGTCAAAATGTGAGAAATTCTGCTTGAGGCCTGTTTAAGATGGAAGTGGGTATTAATTGTACTTTCGGGTAAAGATGTCAAGTAGGTAGCAGGGTCTCTGAGTCTGAAGTTCAAGAGGAATCTGTGGGCTGGTGATTTAATTTCCAAATCATCAACATATACACAGTACCTCCACAGGGAACAAGGAAACATCAGTTCAACAGAATCAGACAGAGATTTTTCATTCTCCAGGTCCATCTTCTCAGAGCAATGAGAAGCAGCCAAGCTAAAGGAGGAGAAAAGGCAGTGTAGGATACAGGTCTCTTGAGCTAAGTTCCACAGATAGGCTTGAGAGGCCACAGCAGACCTGAGAACTCCTGGAATTGCATGCAAAATATGTGGGGAAAGTAGGTGCATTTTGGAGAAAGGGTGTGCATATTTATCACTGGCTACCCAAAGTGATTTTCCCATGGCTCTAACTTCAGTAGATTACTTAAATGAGAATTCCAATTTCATTGTATATTCATTACTGAGGGCATTTTTCCACATCGGTAAAATAGGGATAATATTTATTCTGTTTGTTCTGAGAATTACAGAAGACAGAGAAAATTACTGGAGAAAGCACTTGTGAAACTAAGTTAGGAATGCACATGTCATCTATACACAGCAAACACTCCTTATTTCTCTGACCTAGGGCTCAGTCATTGAATTGCTTCTCTTCATTATCATCCCTCTTTCCTAATGATGTTATTTCATCTTGTGGTGTTTTTACTCTCACGGCAGTTATACTCTGAGGACTCTCAAATATGTTTCCAGCCAAACCTCCTCCATAAATTCTAGACTCATATATCCAACTGCCTATTTCATATCTTCCTCTTAGATTTGCAGCAGGCATCTAAAACTCTCTCTGGATGTCCAAAGCTAAGTCTGGAATTCTCTCCAAAACTTGTTCCTCCTTCCCTATTTTAGCAACTGGCACCTCCATTCCAGTTCCTTTGGCTAAAATCATTGGAATTATCCATAAATTGTCTATTTCTTTCATCCCCTACATTCACTAGCTCAGAAAAGAACTATCAACCCTCCCTTCAAAATATATACAGAACCAATCAGTTTTCCCAGCCTCCACCACTAATACACTGTGTCCCTTTGCCCAACCACAATACCTCCTTGCTATCTCCAGGCTTTCCTACTTGGTCTTCTATTTGGAATACTCCCTCACCTTCTCAATGTCATTTTTCTCCAACCATCACTTTATCAGTACAGCTTTCCATGATCACATCATTTAAAAATATCACCTCTTCCCTCTGTAAGGTTATAGCAGAATCTCCCCCCTTGTGTGTGTGTGTGTGTGAAATGTAAGGCATGTAAGGTTATAGCAGAAGTGTTCTCTTTAATTCTAACTGATGCCATCTGCTTCTGTCACTGTGCTTGCTTTTAGTTGATAGTCAAATATAGCTACACGGAACAGGAGTGACTCCATGACAGGCTGAACTTCCTAGAGTAGGCCTGCAAAGATGTAACAAAACCCCCCGCCATGTGTTCTTGCTTAAGCTTGCCTGCGAGTGTCGATTGCAGCTTCTTGGAATTCCTCCACCCCAGGCTGGCAGTTCCGATTGCAGCCGATGAGATTACCCCACCCTCGGCCTCCGGGAGTAGTCTGTGCAAGATTAAGCCTCTAGAATTTCCCCACCCCAAAACTCCCTCTTATCCTGTTTTTGCCCCTGACCACTTGCGTGTGGTTTTTGCTTTTAAACCCCAGCCCTACACTTATCGGGTGCTACAGCTAGCCAGCTTGGTGATGCTGTGAGCCCCTGCGCTGCGCTTGTAATAAAAAACCTCTTGCTTTTTGCATCAAGTCTCGGTCTCCGCTCGCTTTTCAGGGTCGTCGTCTCTCCCCTGGGCCCACCGTGGAATTACCTGCGGTCTAACACCTCCACATGTTATGCCTTTTCCTGCTTTAGTGATCTTCATGGCACTCAGTACTACCTGACACACTATATTTTACTTGTTTTGTTTGTGCACCCATGCCCAATAAATGTAAACTCCATGAATATAGAAATATTGTTCAGTATTGTTCATTATTATAATTCGCAGAGCAGAAAACAGTGACTAGCACATAGTTTATGTGCTCCATTTTTTTGTTGTTAAATTAACATCCTCATATTAGTTTTTCCCCTCAAATCAATGACTTACTTCCAATAACATCTGATTCTTTTCATATTTATGCATAAGTCCAAATCATTAAAAAAAAGCAAATTCAAAATAACTTCATTGATTTTCCTGGATTCAAATTATCACCCTACAGATTACTTGCTGGACACAAGAAAGAATTGATTTTACAATGGGATTATCACTGTAAACCCAAACTGCAATTGTTCTATCATCTTTACATAAACCAGACATCATGTACCTATCATGTGGTACAAAAGTATGTACATATCTATAAATTGTTCCTGACAAGCATATTAACCTGATTTCAATTAGGTCTATAGAAATCACATCTACTTTACAGGACATAGAGAGTATGGAAAAGTAAAATGATCTTATTAGGAAACAAACCAATCCAAAGAATATTCTACAGTTCTGGTCTCCAGCAAATCAGTGTCCAAAAATGGATAGGAGAGGAAGGAGACTATTTTCAGTTCAGAGAATTGAGGCAGAACCAGTCATGACTAGATCTTTCACTAAACAAACCTTATCTCCAAGACATTTAGGGCATAAGTGGGATTTTTTTAAATGTGGATTGAATATAATCTGAAGAAATTCAGTTTTAGTTAGAGGTGAGATACTATGTGGGAGTTTTTAGCAGTGCATACTTAATGTGGGGTGAAATGTTCTGATGCCTGCAAGGGCACTTTTCGCTATCATGGCTAGCAGCTAACAAATTTAACTGGTATGTCTTATTCTACATTTTTAATATTTTCGTGACAAAATCATAAATACATTAGTATCTATACCAAACAACACTGGCAAGCTCTCCTCGAGTGTGCTTTTCATAAGCCATTTAGTGATCCAGAGAAAGCAGCAACGCACATGCCACCAGTTTTACTGTCGTCCTCCTGCCCGAAGGATTCTCCTTTCCGCTCCTGATGTCGCCTTTGTTTCCCGCCCGCAGCCCAAGCGCCGGCTTTGTCTCGCCCCCTGCCCGCCATTTTGGCCTCGCTAACGCAGGTTCCCGGGCAGTTCACCTTCTCTGCGATAGTCGAAAACCTTGCGAACCCGACTTTGAACTGAATTTAAACACTAAGAAACCTTTCGGGGATTTAAAACAGTCCCAGTCTAGCTTCTCCATTTTGCCACTTGAGTGTTAATGTTACGGCAACTGTTACAGCGACCGGTCCCAGAAGGAATAACCGAGCGACACGCGGAGAGTCGGAGACCCAGAGTTTATTCGCCAGCAGGCTCGGAGAGAACTCATCAGCAAATTCTGAGCACCGTTTCCTCATTTTCGTCAGGTTTTATACTTTCTTTTGGGTTACATACTACCAATAGCATACAAGCAGTTAACCAATCAGCAACAGGATTCGGTAAACAACCAATAAGCAGTGATTATTGCAGGCTTTTGTCTTGTGTTAGGCTTATAACTTTGCTTAAATGTTTACGGTTTAGCGGAATTTCCCATAAGTTTCCCAACGGTATTTCTCACAAGTTCCCCTAACATTAAGAGAACCAGTTAATCTCACACCTAACACACTACCTGAAGGCAGAAATAAAGCAGTGTCACATATTTTTACGCACAAACCATGAATAAATGAAATAATAAAACAAAAAAATTAAACATTACTTGCAAGTTAGACACGCACTCAAGAACTACATTGTCACCAACGGCAACCTACAACAAAATAAATCAATAAAGCAAGATACTAGCTCTTTCTCAGAAAAATGTGGGCGGCCCTGAAAAGGGCCTTTGGTTGAGCAACGAAAATACTTGGGTTGTGTAAGCGGAGTCTTCAGCCGCCGAAGCCATAGAGAGTGCGCCCCTGTCGCTTGAGAGCGTACACCACATCCATGGCAGTCACCGTCTTCCGCTTCGCATGCTCCGTGTAAGTGACAGCGTCACGGATCACATTCTCCAGGAAAACCTTGAGAACCCCGCGAGTTTCTTCATAAATCAGGCCAGAAATGCGCTTAACACCACCGCGCCGAGCAAGACGCCGAATAGCAGGTTTAGTAATCCCCTGGATGTTGTCCCGCAGCACCTTACGGTGACGCTTAGCGCCCCCCTTGCCTAGCCCCTTACCGCCTTTGCCACGTCCAGACATTACGAAAGCTCTCCGAAAACCACTTTCAAAAAAGTGTGCCTTGAATTGAGGCAATGCCCTTATATGCACGGAGTGCGGACCTGATTGAAAAATGAAGGTGCACATACGGGAGCTTTCATCTTGTCTGCTGGCTCCACCTCTCACAACCCAGCCTGGAGTGACATCACCAACGACTCCGTTCTGCGCACGCAGAGCGCCTTCTGCGCGGAGGCTTCTCTTGCAAGTCCTTCATATCCAAATTGGAATTTTGGAGCTGTTTTAACAACTACATCACACTGAAACAATTGACATTTTGTAGCGCTTATTTGCTGTTTGGGATGCTTTGGGACGATTGCACAGGAGCCTTGGTCCACACGATTGGGACTGCAGCAACCTCCATTGAATGCGGAGTCCAGCTGTGTCCCTACGTTTGCAGTGCCTTCTGCATTTCCGCTCCTCGTTGTAAAGCTCTTGCGGACCAAAACCGCCTGCGAAGAGTTTGAAAAATACCAAATTTCACCTTCTCCATTCCCAAGCCGAGGAAAATCTGACTAAAAGCGTTTTCTCTCCGAAGGCAAAAACATCTTTGGTTAATGATTCGGAAATAGAATTCTCGCCCGCCGCGCGGAGGCCCATGTTGCATTACCACCTTGTTTCTCCCTTCCCTGTTTATTTATTTATTTTTCCTTCCCTGTTTATTAACAATATGTAATTCTCATTTAAATAGCTAGCCACCTTCACATCTGCACCCAGTAACTTACCAGTGTGGTAATGTTTACTTCTCTATTCCCATTTTTGTGTTGATTCTGGTAGCAAGCAGCCTTATTCGAAAGAGAATTGGCAACCTTTGATAGTCAAGGCATTAAAATAAATGGACAAATTCTTACAGGCTGTTTTAGCACAAGATTATCTAAGCACGAGTTAAGTACATTAGTAGAAGAGGGACACATGGAAAAGCAGAGTGGCGCAGCGGAAGCGTGCTGGGCCCATAACCCAGAGGTCGATGGATCGAAACCATCCTCTGCTAGGCTATTTTATTTCGTTTCTTTTCCTTACAGTTACCCAGAATGTGAACCAGTATTTTACTAAAGGCCATCATGATGGCACTTATCTACAGAGATAAATGAAAACTAAAATTGATTGCTACATTAACTTTGCTTTAGCAGTTGTCTAATTCTGGAATGGTGGCGAGTTTTGAGTCAAAATGCCAGACAGCCAAGAAGAGCATTCTAGGGAAAAAAAACAAACACAAGGAGACATGATAGCTAAAGGTTTCTAAGGAACTATAATACAAATAATTCAGTGTGATAGAGTATGGAGGTGAGGTCATGTGATGGAGAAGGATTTGAAGAGAAAAGTGACTGTGTTCTGATCACTTTCTATTCACCTCCTATGTTCCTCCTCAGGTCTCAGTAAATGCAAACTTTGTTGTTACAGCAAAAATATCCTGAAGATATATATGACTTTTCTATTTCTCTCACACCCCCAATCTAATCACCAAATCCTTCAAAGTATATTTAGAATTCAAATACTTCTCACTACTTCTGTCAGCACTGCCTATGTTGATTTAGCCATAATCATGTCTCTGGATATTGCAATAGCCTTCAACTGACATTTCTGCCTCCAGGAAGAGAGAAAGAGAGCAATATGTCCATATTCAGATTTTTGTGGAACAGAAGAATCTTCTTGTTAAATAATCCCTACATTAAAGATGACTGCAGAATTCAAACAAAAATGTATATATGAGAACATATTGTTATTGAGCTCCTACTATTTGCCTGATGTTATTCTATGGCTAGGTAAAGGAAGACTATGTAAAAGGCCTCATTTCTGTGCTCCAGAAGCTGCTAATTTGCTAATCCAGAAAAGCCAAGACGAATTACAAATGAGCCATGAGGGCCTTTGCTCCCAGTGTCTGGGATTTAAGAAAATTAAGGAAATGCCTTATGTGTAGACTGCTGATATTATCATCAAATGAGGTTCATGAGGTCACAGAGATTAACTAGCAGGCTTGAAAGAAGGCATACAAAACACAACTTTAAATTTATACCCCATTATGGGACCAAGGACTCTACAAAATATTATACATTCTGTAAATATCTTCTCCATAATATGATTTTATTGCATCATGTTTTTATGTTGATTCGTCTATTAAATGTAAGTACTGTTAATAGTCAAAATGTTTGTATTTCTATTTCGTGTTTCTTCCTAATATATGGGACCCTCAAAAATAGTAATGGCCCTCAACCTCTCTATACTCCCGAGAAACCCCAAGAAAGGTATTTTCTTTTTTCTTCCCCCCTCAAACAGGGACATACTATGAAAAGTGCTCTGATATCACATATAACAATCAGAGAAAGTGCCAGAACAGTGTGAGGAAGGGAAAATTGTCAGAGAGGGCATGCAGGATGGCAAGAAAGACGATCTTGCAGGTGTTGCCTCGTGGTGAAAGTGCCTTCCAGGTGCAGTTTCCTTGACAACTGTCTAGGCAGATACCCCAAGTACCTAGAGTCTGTAAATGGTGGGTGTGGGTGAGCATCAATATGGAAGAAACCCTGAGCAAGTTTAATTTTAAAAATCCCTCGGTACAAATAATATGCAATATTTTTGCATATTTTAGGTCACATAAACTCCACTTTTTTTGCTTTGGGAGTTGTAGAGGAAACTTTTTCTCCATGGAGTAGCCATATACCACAAGACTGAAATAATCTCAACCGTTCAGAAATTCTGATTCTGTGGCCCCGAATAACCTCCATTTTTCCAATGGCTAAAAGCACGGAAGCCACAGATGCCTTTGCCTTTGGGTCATTCATTATACGGAACACTCAGTACAGGGCAGAAAGCTCGTTCTACTTTCTAAATATTGCACTAGAAAAGGCTCTCACGGGGACCACGTGGCCTAACGGATAAGGCGTCTGACTTCGGATCAGAAGATTGAGGGTTCGAATCCCTTCGTGGTTAGTGGGATGTGTTTTATGAACTTCTGAAAATTCGATTACCCAGCCTCATTGAAGAAAAAAAAAAATCACCCATTCCCTGGGTTTTCTCAACCCCTTTCTTTCTGTTTTTTTTTTTTCATTTTATTTTTTTTTCATTTTTTTTATTTCAGCATATTTTGGGGGTACAGATGTTTAGGTTACGTATGTTGCCCTCGCCCCTCCGCCCTCCGCAGTCCGAGCTTCAAGTGTGTCCTTCCCCCAGGAGGTGCGCATCGCACTCATTGTTTGCGCATATGCCCTCCCCCCTGCCATCAACCCTTTTCTTTCTTTCTGCTCCTTTTTAAAGGGAAGGAGACGTTCTCAAAGGCCTTGGGAGAACCGGTGCCGGAGTGAAGACAAGCCGAAAGTTAAAACCGAAATGAAACCATCCAGTATTGTGAGACTTTCAAGTTCTCCCCAAGTTTGGATAAGAGCCTGCGTTTCAGTTTGTCCTGAGCCGCTTGAAAAAAGGAATTCAGATCTGTAAGTCAAGCTCTCTCAAACTGTTGAGTTTCAGACAACCCCAGGCCCCACTGGCTATCACAATAGGAAACCCGTTGCTTTTTCCCTCGGATTTAGCACTAGGCCTCAATCTCTTCACGTTCCTCTTCTAGTCTAAGTCCCCATGTCCTACAGAGTTTTGGCTGCTGCTGCTGCTAAGGAAAATTCCCATCTATTGCTTGGCACATCAGCCACCTGAGACCCCCACTCCTCACGGAAGACCTGCATCAGCATAACACTAACCTATTACCTGGCCCATCAACTAACCTATTACCTGGTGCATCAGCATAACACTAAACCTATTACCTGGCGCATCAACATAATACTAACCTATTACCTGACACATCAACTAACCTATTACCTGGCAGGCATTAGCCACCTGATACCCCACCCCTCGGACCACCCCAACTTAATAAAAGTGAGAAAAATCGGGTAGATGGGGCTCAGAATGTGGTGCCTAGACCTTTCTGAGCCCGCCAGCGAATAAACTTTGACTCTCCTACTCTCCGTGTGCCGCTCGGCTTGTCCTCACTGTAACACTGATACCAAAGTTTCACTCTTCCCCTCCTTTTCCATCTTAACTTTTTTGCTTTGGTTTTGTTGCTCTTAAAAGGATGATAACAGCTCATATTCAATCCTAAACTGAGCAGAAATATAAAGGTCATTAAAAGAGCCCAACTAGTTACAATGTGTGTGTGCAAACAGAAAGACCGGGAAGACAGCTGCGCAAAATATTTAAAAACACATTTTGTGTGCCTAAATAATCGAATTTAATAATAATTTAAGATTAAGGGAAAGTAATTTTCAATTGTTGACATAATGGTGAAACATACAGCATTTGACGAAAACATTGGTTTAAATCACATGGAGGCCATGAGGCTTCCATGGTTCTAGGTCAAAGCAATGAATGTTAAAACACAGTAATAATTACTTCTTCCTATCCCCAGCCGTTTTCTTAGTTCTTCTGTGAGATTCTGGTTTCCTCTAATCATCTATAGATTTCAAATTGTATTAAAAACTTTGGGATTTAGCATTGGTTTCCAGATTTTGAGATTTCCTGGACTAAAAAATGTCAACGTCCTTGTTCTGTGAGAGGGCCATATATGCAAATCGACCCCCAGATGCAGAAGGTGCCAAGAAACCAAAAAGGGAGGCAAATACAGTTTGTCAGTAAAGGGTGATTTATTAGGGGGACCTCAGACAGAAGTGTGGTGGGGCGTTGCAAGACAGGTAGATCTCCACCCTTCAGCCCCTAGACCCAGGGCTTATATCTTGGGGAAAAAGTATAGGTGCTCTGGAAGTAATGTGTAGGTGGCTACAGGAGCCACAGCCTATGATGTAAGCAGCAAGCAACAACAAGGATTGGTTTGGAGGGAAGGTGAAACTTAAAACGTGTAGGTGTTTCTACATAAAGAGACATCAACTAGACATTTTGGAGGCAATCCCAGATTCCAGGTTAGTCAGGTGGATTAACATTTAACAATAAAGTCACTCTTGTCCCCACAGTCCTAATATCATGTAAAACCACATTCTGCTTTCCTG